AATTTTATATTAAAATTAAAATTCTATAAAGACATTATGAATAGCAGCTTAATGGACAATACAATTTATATGTATCGATATGTCGAACCGTTCATTTCACACGTATACAGTAAATGACAGCAATAAACGAATATCATCTACCGTCAAAAATATGAAAAGTAGATGACTTTTTGAGGTGACGTACCTTACATGTAATTTTGACATTTCGGATTTCGCTTCACGATATCTCCGTTCATAGGACACGTACAGGTAAAATAAACGCTCATTATATAATTCGGACTCAAGCCTGTCGATTGAGCTCATATTCAGAACTTGATCAGTCCGGCCTTTATTAAAAAACCGGTAATTTTGGATGCCCGCAACTCGCTGACTCGCGTAAAGACACGGGGCGGCCTCGCGCTGCGCTCCCACTTGGCGCGAGACACTACTGTGTCTCTTGATGCATTAATTTTTCGATATTTTAGCAGAATTATTATTTTTGTCCAAAAAAAAATACACACATGGAAGAAACAGTTTTGCTCAAGCACTTAAAAGTATAGCTGGATATAGTTAATTTTGTTAGACTATTCAAATAATTATATATGTGTAGAACGCTCTAAAACTGATTGTTAGAATGTCAAAACTTTTGGCAACATTATTCAGCAATGTTGAGTTTCCTATATAATTATTTTGATGATCCGACAAAATTATTTTCAGATCTACTTAAATATTTATTGATATACAGTAAAGTCGTTCTTCCTGTGCAGTGCTCATCTCGATTTTTTCTTCATTTCTCAAGTGTTCTCGGAAGAGCAATCTGCACGCGCTATATCTTAATATGAAAACGTAACATTTTAAAACGAAAGATTTGACCAAATAAAGACCGTGTTTGAAACTCACTAATTTATTAAGACACAGTTGCTAATTTCTCGAATGGAATCTCATTCGACCAGACTAATAATATTTTTTGACCGCGTTCCGTACTCGAGAGAAATGCAATGTAGATACAATTCTCAATCTCTGGATACGCAAAAGTGCATACCTCTTTAAACAAAAATTTGTTTCATTTGTCAGGCGAACGGCAATTTTTCACTCGCGATCTTGTCAAATATTTTCTGGTAACGCGTTACATGATTCGCGTCTCGCGATCGTTTGCAACATAACGCTACAAACGTATCGACATGTCGGTTATGTTGACTGCGATGCGGTCAACCTAACAGTTGCGGTGTGTAAAATTGATCCAGTGCGAAATCTCATAATTGTCAATAACCAGAAACCAACGCATGATATATGCGACAAAAATGCTCATAAGGCATTGCACTTTCCTAAATTTTCCGAATTTATTTTCTTCTGAGATTATCCAAAAATTTTGTATGTGCATTTTTCACTCGGTTAACATAGCATGAGCGCCGACAGTAACATAAGATTTATTTGATTGAATTAAAGGGATAGGATAAATTTTCAGTCACTTCACTCGCAAAGCTGATTTTAGCATTATCAAATGCGCGTTGCGACAACGACAATGTACGCTCGCGACACTTAACGTGTGAAACGAAGCCGATACGCAAATTGACGATCATGATCAAAAGGTATTATTGATTCAATTTCAGCCCTAATAATGATGCTCCTCTCCTGAGCATGCAAGACTTGTTATCGGGAGGAGACGCTGCGTCACTAATTGGCAGAAACGGGAAAATTAATTTGATATGAAAACTCGTTGCGCTGAGCCATGAAGTATCTTGATTCGGTTCAGTTATATTTTAAAGATTATAAAATTGCATATTTTTTCGCATACGAGCAGTTAAAATTGTTTCAAACATAAGTCACAAATGATTTACAAATTATTTTATAACCTAATTGTTTTTTTTTTAATTAACATTTTCATGTATAGTTAATCGAGGTCCGTTCACTCGTCTCAGATTAGAATGATCAGAAGCGAGCAAATAAAAGTTTTTGCAAAATATGGTAACAATATATTTCAATAAAATAACACTTACAATTGATAGAACTTTACTAGGCTTATAAAATATATCAAAAACTTTCCTTTTGTTTCGTTAATTAATAAATATAATAATATATCTGAAAATGAATTATGCGTATACAGAGCATCGTATAATGCTATCGTATAGTTCTTAATAAAAAGCTAAGTCGAAAAGTCCTCTACCATTTTGCAATTTCAACAATTAAAGAGATAATAATTTCTAAAGATTGCCGAATAAATGGATAAAATCGATATATAAAACAATTTTAAGGTATTTTTCAATGTTCTTTATGAAATATTTTGAAGATGTTTGTTAGGATTTGCACGACGATGATCAATCTACTAGGTGCGCAACTAAGTTTCCGGGTTTCACACATGGATGGCGCTAACGACACATGTAGTCGACATACATGTCTGAAGTTGTGTTTTTTTTATAGCTTGGACATCTGTTAACAATAACCAGTCGTAATACCAACACATATCGTAACGCAAAAATATTTTTTCTAACAACGAAGATGTCGAGTTTTGTGCCAAATAAACAGCATTTGCGGGAAGCTTTGCTTTTCTGCTTTAACTTGAAAAAAAATGCAGCTGAACGTCGTTTGCTTGAGGAGGCCTACGGCGAACATGCACCATCGAAAACTACCTGTGAAGATTGGTTTAAACGCTTCAGAAGTGGCGATTTCGACACTGTGGACAAGGAGCGCTCCGGAAGACCAAAAACAATTGGGGACGCCGATCTGCAAACGTTATTGGATGAAGATGATACGCAAACACAAGATCAACTTGCGGAGGCATTAAACATGACTCGCCAAGGTATTTCCAAACGTTTACATGCCATGGGAAAAATTCAAAAGGAAGGAAAATGGGTGCCGCATGAGTTGACTGAAATACAGACTGGAAAATCGAAGAGCTACTTCCGAAATTTTGCTTTTGCGGCATGAAAGAAAGAATTTTCTGCATCGAATTGTTACTGGCGATGAGAAGTATATATATCGGATATATTTCGAGAATCCCAAACGCAAAAAATCATGGCTTTCATCTGGCGAAGCATCAACATCGACGGCACGGCCAAATCGCTTCGGAAAGAAGACTATGCTCTGCGTTTGATGGGACCAGAAAGGAATCGTGTACTATGAGCTGCTGAAAACGGGCGAAACTGTCAATGGGCATCGCTACCGACAACAACTGATCAATTTGAATCATGCATTGCTCGAAAAACGGCTAGAATGGGACACGAGACACGAACGAGTGATATTGCAGCACAACAACGCTCCGTGCCATCGCACTTCCATCGTCCAGGACACCATTAAAACGCTGAAATTGAATCTGCTACCGCACCTGCCGTATTCGCCAGACCTGACCCCTTCCGATTATCACTTGTTCCGGTCGATGGCGCATGGCTTGGCTGGGCTACACTTGGCCAATTTCGAAGAAGTGCAAAATTGGTTGGATGAATGATTTCGGTCCAAAGACGCGTCGTTTTATCGTCGCGGTATTCATGTATTGCCAGAGAGATGGCAAAAATGTGTAGCTAGCGAGGGACGATACTTTGAATAAACCATTTTTTGTATTTCTCTTGAAATTTTCCATTTTTCATTGATCAAAAAAACCCGGAAACTTACGCACCTAGTACACAAACGTTGCGCACCCAGTACATAAACGTTCTTATATTCGTGATGTACATTTGCTGTAAGTACAAGGTTAGGGCCCTGCGTGGCACACATGTTAACCCATGAGCGCGGATCGCAGGACTGTCTCTCTCCTGCGATCGTCACGCCCTCGTCAGGCTCGGCATGTCCCAACATCTCCCCTCTTGAGAGACTACTGCTGAGTGTAGGACTTTGCCTTAGGATCCAGAACTAGTCTCCGTGGTTGGACTCTATGACGGAAAGGCCTGGCTGGAGTTTCGCTAGGGGCAGGTCCTGGATGAAGGTTTTCCTGTGGAAGAGCCGGGATACCAAGTCGGGGCTCCGCTGGACCAGTTTAGGCTCGTAGTGGGTCCTCTGAGATTAAAGAAGATCTCAGTCATCTGAGGTTAAAGAATCAGGATTCGCCGCGTTACCTCCTATCCAAATGTGGTTGATGTGTCGTTCGACCGACCTGCCATTGTCCAGTAGTATTAAATAGCGTGTATTCGATAAGATGTTCTTGATGTGTCCCTGTTCGCGTTTGTCTTTTAGTGCCACGATGACTCGGTCTCCCAAATTGAAAGTTCTGTGACGAGCTCCGTGGTGATTCGAATTGTTGTTGCATCTCCAACTGTTTCTGCGTGAGATTGTTTGGATGGGGGTACTGGTAGTTTAGTAATTAGTTAGTAATTTGGTAAAAGGAGAGGTAATACGTCTGCCAAACATTAATTCGGCTGAAGATCTTCCATTTGAGGTTGCGGAGCAAGGTGTATATCTGTAACTGTAAAGGAAGTCTTGGAGTTCTTTCCTCCAGTTGGAAGGATTTTTTGCGATAGCTCTTTTTACGAAGTCCATTCTCTCAGCTTGTCCGTTAGATTGAGGGTGGTTGACGGCGGAGAGAATGTGACTGATGTGCATCTCTTTGCAAAAGTTTGCGAAGATATCTGCTGTAAATTGCGTTCCATGATCGCTTATTAATATTTCAGGCGGACCATCTGGAGAATATTTCCCGACATATTTCTATTGTGCGTGCTGCAGAAATAGTTGGCGTGATAGCCACTTCGATAAATTTTGAAAATGCGTCCACAAAGATGAGTAGATATTGGCCGTCTATCGGTCCTGCGTAATCTACATGTAAGCGTTCTAGAGGCTTAGAGGGGATTGGCCACGGAGAGATTGGAATCTTGATTGGTAATTTGCGTGTTAGTGCGCAGGGGTCGCAACGTTTTATTATATGTTTGATATCCTCGGAAAGTTTTGGCCAGTAGACGTATTCACGTGCGAGCTGCTTCATTCTTCGAATACCGGGATGGCCTTTGTGCAGAGATGACAGGATACTGGCTTGAATCCCTTGAGGTATGATTACTCTGTCTCCGAATAGTAAGGTGTCGTCGACGATTGACAGGAAGTCAAGACGTTTCTTATAGTGTTCCACCGTAGGTAAATTGATAGTAGGAGTTTTATTGCTCCGAATAGCTTCCATGATAGCTTGGAGGTCGGGGTCAGTACTGGTAGCCGATTTTAACTTGAGACGAAGTTCTTCTCCAAATTTATCGATGGAAAAGTCTCTGATTCGTTGGATTTCGTTTTCCACTGCACGGACACAGGCTATTTGTAAGTCTTCACTGTTATCGTGGCGGAATTTCTGTATTAAACGCGATAAAGCGTCTGCTGACCGAAGTCCTGTGAGTGGACATATTCGATTTCAAAGTCGTAACCCAGTAGTCTTATGGCCCAGCGCTTGAGACGAGCCGCTGTAGTGGGTTTTAGACCTTTTGTGTCTTCAGATTGAAGGAGAGCGACAAGCGGTTTATGGTCGGTTTGTAGGATGAACTTCTTTCCCCAGACGAATTTATGGAATCGTTCGACCGCCGTAACCAATGCAAGAGCTTCTTTTTCGAGCTGGGAATAGTTGCGCTGAAAGTCTGTTAGACTTTGTGACATATGGTAGACAGCACGTTCGTGCCCGTACACGTCTCGCTGCAGGAGTACTCCACCGATTCCTGTAGAGCAAGCGTCTGCAGCTACGATGAATGTTTTTGAAGGATCGAAGTGCTCTAAGAGTAGGGGGCTAAGAAAGATTTTCTTGATGTGTAGCATTGTAGTGTCGTGTTGTGCGTTCCACGTCCATGATTGGTTCTTTCTTGTGAGATCTTCTAAGGGTTTCTTTAACTGATGAAGATGTGGTATAAATTTTCCGTAGTGGTTTATCATTCCTAAGAGTGTTTGGACTTCCGCCACGGAGGAAGGATTAGGCATAATCGCAATCGCTCGAGTAGTTTCAAGATCTGCGGCGATGTCTGAGCCATTGATGATAAGACCGAGATACTTGATTTCGCGTAGAGCGAAGCGACATTTCTCGGGTTTCAACTCCCAGAGCCTCGAGGCGTTGTAAAGTTGAGCGAAGACGTATATAGTGTTCTTGACGGGTAGAACCTGCGATATAGATATCATCGATGAAGGCGCCAACGCCGTCCAACCCTGAAATCGATTGAACCATGGCTTGTTGAAATGTGGCTGGGGCCGTCTTGATGCCAAAGGGTAGACGTTTGTATCTGAAAAGGCCCTTCGGTGTTGTGATCGTGGTGACATCACGATATCCTTCAGCGATTTCGATTTGCAAGAACGCATCACTGAGGTCTAAAACGCTGAAATAACTATTACCATTTAGTTTAGATACTATAGAATCTATGTTCGGTAAAGGATACATGTTATTTTTCAATGCCTTATTCACGCCTGTGGAGTAATCAGCGCATAAACGGATTTTGCCGTTTGGTTTTTTTACGATGACGATAGGTGTACTCCAATCCGATTGATGTACGCGTTCGATTATGTCTAAGGATTTTAAACGCTGCAATTCCTCGTCTAGGAGAGTTTCCATCGCGAACGGGATTTGCCGACATGGAGTTTGCACTGGAACAGAGTTTTCGGATAACGTAAGTTTAGCTTGAAAATTTTTACACTGCCCGAGGCCCTTGGAAAAGAGTTTTGGAAAATTTTTCACGATGTGGTCGTTTGATGCTGGAGGTGATGGTGGCGACTCGACGGGGGAATTTGTTTTGTTGTGTTTAACAACCGCGCGTTGTGAATTTTCACAGAACTCACGGCACTTGTCGAGAGGCATAGCCCACAAATTGAGCTTGTCAATAGCCGAATAGGTTAAGACCGTCGCGCGCGACATCTATCACTACATCATCTTCACGGTTAGCAGTCTGTATTTTACACTTGAATCTTCCTAATGTTTTCAGAGCATTGCCCTCGGCGTGTTCCACAGATTTGCCGGAGCTAAGTGTAGGACTGCCTAGACGTATCCACGTGTCTTTCCCGATGGTCGTGACATCTGATCCACTATCGTATTGAAATTGTATGTACATGTTGGTCGAGTAATGACGTAGGAATGTAGATGCGTCGATAGTTGTTGAGCGAAGTTATCGATTGAATTGCTGGCTTATCGATATCAACTGTGTTATCGATTGTGTTGTCGGCCGAAAGGTAGTCGACCTTATCCTTCGAGCGACACACCTTCGCGATGTGGCCTTTTAAGGAACACTTAAAACACGTGGCGTCGCGGAACGGACAGTTTGCACGACGATGTGCGCCACCGCAGCTGTTGCAATTGAAAGATTGTCTAGGCACACTCTTCGTGGTGCCAGACTGTTTCGTGGATTCTGATGAAGGCCGTTTCTTTTTTTCTGATTTGAAGCGTACAGACTGCGTGGTTGAAGTGGAAAGATTCGATGGGTTTTCGAGCGTTTTCAAATTTGTAGATACGTTCATATGAGCCTCGAGTTCTGTAGTGATATCTCTGAGAGTAGCATTTTTTCGTTCTTCTCGATTACACGTAGAGCCCTCTTTTTTAGATCCTCGTTATCACTTGAGAAACAGAGTGATTGGAGGAGTAACAAAACTTTGAAATTATCATCCGTGAGTTTAGAACGTTCGAAATCTGAAGCCAAACGATTTATTCGGTCGATGTGTTCGGAGATAGCTTTGTCATATCTATAGTTTAAGATTTCGATGCGACGGCGGGTGAGAGATGTCTTGTCACGAAAGAGATTCTTCAAAATGGCGATGAGATCTGTTTGTTTCATCTTGGTCGGATCCGCTGGTGCGACGTGGTCCACTAAACGATCGAATTCTGGTTGACCCAGGTTGTCTAGAAGTAAACGAGTGCGCATTTCTTCGGGAAGAGACTCTGATTCTTTGACGAGTGTATATTCGTACCGTAACAGCCATTTTGGGAATGGTTTCGAATCATCGTCCGAGGTGAACACATATTTCTCGATGCGAGCATTTAATTGATTGTATACGTTAATTGTAGTCGATGAGCTCGGATTTACATTTTGGACGTGATCTCATTGAAGTTGCAATTGAAGTAAACTGTTAATGGCAGCAGTGAGAGCTTCGATTTGTGACGTTGGTGTCGTCATGTTAGTTGAAATCTTGTCCGTATAAAGAAAAGGTTCGGGGAAAAAAAAAGCCGCAGCGCCAGTTGTTAGGATTTGCATGACGATGATCAATCTACACAAACGTTCTTATATTCGTGATGTATATTGCTGTAAGTACAAGGACCCGGCGTGGCACGCGTGTCAACCCATGAGCGCGGGTCGCAGGACTGACTCTCTCCTGCGATCGTTATGCCCTCGTCAGGCTCGGCATGTCCCAACAATGTTTTTTAAAGAACTCTTAAAAATATTTTAAAGTTGTTTTATACGTCGATTTTTTAAATATTTTGCTCATTGGGTAACTAAAAATAATATTGCGAAAATTGTAAAATGCTAGAGGACTTTTCAACTCAGTTTTTTATTAAGAATAGCACTATATTTATTAAGAATAGCATACCCAGCAAACACAAATATGTACATGTCAAACTCATACATAATCTTAATTTTTTGGATCGTAACAGTGATGTCAAAAGTTACGTGAATTTGCGGAGAATATTCTCAAATTTGTCGTCCCATTTTATTTATAGTAATTATATAACAGTGATATGATTTAAATACGAAACGGCGACAGAATTGACATATAACAATTATATATTGAGATGAAATGCATATATTTACGCGATGCAAAATTTGTCACTGTGATATCATAAATAGGTAAAATTGTTACTTATTGACATTGACTCAATTTCTTTGATTTGAAGAAGTTTTTTGATTATTTCTTGCTATTAGTATTAAAAAAATAATTTATATAGTTTTGCAACTCTTTTTTTTAATGAAAGAAATATATTTTTTATAAAGGTTAAGTAAAAAGGAGCATACAGCCACGCTAGAGATGTCAAAAAGTTATAATTCAATAATAAACATTTTACATAGTAGACGTTTCGGTCACGATTTGACCATCCTCAGTACAAAAATAAAAATAAAATAATAACCTTAAACTATTTAAATCTAATTATTAAAATCTTATTCTTAATGTTAGTAATATCTCGCTTCTTCTTATGCGTTATTCGCATTAATGTCCGCATTTAACAATATAATGTTTTTTGATACAATCAATTAACATAAATTTAAGGAAAAACTAAATTTATCC